GGCTAGCTTTTGGCGGATCGCGTCCGCGTCGAACGACAGTTTTTCGACGCCTCAAGCATCGTGATACTCGGTGCGCTTGTGCCGTTCCTTTTCTTGTTTACCCGCGTTTTTCGAGCATTTCTTATTAAGAATGATGCTCGGTGGTGGCACTTCCCACCAATAGCTTTCGCCCCGTTGTCTCATGACGTCGAGACTGTGCTGGCGCTGCTAACAGCAGTGGCCCTTTGGACTTCCTATGGGAAACGGGGGTCGTTTTCATCGAAGGGGAAGCAGCGTGAGCGGAAGGAGCGCCAACGTGCACAAAAAGCGCGAATGGGCACGAGAACGACGCTTAGCCGGTGGGCAGCACGTGCAGCCGCTCCCGCTGGCTTCCATCTTCCCAGAGGTGGAGGAGCTCTGGTGAATTTTTGTTTTGTTTTGTTTTCTTTTTTATCAAGAGAGCGTAGACCTTACACACCCTTTCGATAACAGTGTACGCGACGAAGGTGACAATGGCTGCTCGAATTCCACTCGTCCAAGGGGAGACCTTACTCATATAGTTAGCCACCGCATTTATATGCAGACAAAGCATTGACGAAATTGGGCTAGATGTCTCGATGATATAGGAAAACGGTTGATTACCTGTGTTGGCAAATGTTGATTATCCTCTGTGATAGCAGCAACCTAACATTGCGTTAACTCAACACCGACGATGAGTTTGCCTATACCATTATTTAAACTCTTCTCTACTCCTATATATATGCCTACGCGCCGGCGTTGGTGGACTGTCGGGAGACTGTATCAGATAAAGATCTCCAGACCATTTTTTTTTGCAGAAACACACGGGGGCAACCCAGAATCGAAGGTCGATTCTTTTCTTCATCTTTTTTAACCGTCCTTCCTGCTTACAGCGATTGCTATCCGGGCCCTCCGATAGAGTCCATTCGTCGTGCGTAAACAAAAGCGCGTGTTGACGTATAACACACTCCGGCGAAATAGACTCCGAGTGACTCCCAAAGTGCACTCGTCCTCTTCCAACGCTGTCGTATTTTTTTCGTGGTGTTATTGTTGTTATACTGTTGCACGGCGCTGATGTTGCTGTTGCACGTTTCCGCATCTTTCTGGGCCACTATTGTGGACTCGCACTTTTGCGAAAAAAAAAGCTCAAAAAGAAGGACACGAAACAACGACTGTCAAGTGAAATCCGCATACGGGGCGAAGAGATGCCCATTCCTGACTGTCGTCAAACCCTGGCCACTATAGCCGTTATTTCACGCGGGAGTTTCGGGGAAAGCTCCGTCGCTGGACAGGCCGTAAATCTTTCCTTTCAAGGGAGCCTGGCTTAAGAACTGCGACAGTCTCAGCGTTGGGAAAGCAAACCGTATATCTTTGGATGTCTTGCAAGATCCGTGCAGTGCCGTGAAAGGCTACAGAGCTGCAGTACCAGCTCATAAAAAGCTAAAGAAGACAAGGCAGTCGCACGCGAATACAATTAGGTTTTGTGAAAGAACATATGAGTAATAATCTCAAGTCGAATATGTAGAGATCAGGTTGGTTTAACCGTGCAACGCGTTCTCACGACCAAAACGCGTTTTTACACGAAATCCGGCGCCCTGGTCAGATGAGCCTGCTTCCGCAGCAGCTGCATCGTATTACAGGGCTCCTCTACTATATACGAAAACGTAGGCTGTCCCTTACGGAGCTCGGCTAATGGACTCTCATTGATCATTACGTTATACATCTTGACTTAAAAAAAAAAAGCGCTGTCGCTACACGTAGTAGCTAGATTAGCTATACGCGTGCTTTTTGTGCACGTAGCTCTCGCGGAGTAAAGTTGAATTTAACCGGGCGTGTGTCCTCTGGGGCGTGGATGGAAATTGCGCCACGCTTATCGCACAATTTCGTAGTTTAGCGTGTACATATTTATCTGCCTGCAAACAGGCGTAACTTCCGTTCAGACAATGTAGCCTTGACAGCCTTTAGTGTCGAGTCTCGAGATTCTACACGAACACGCGGATTTCCCAGCTCGAAATGTGTCGTTGGCAAAAAGTTTAACACTCTGTGGTGCACCTCCTTTTTCGTTCTGGTTTCGTTTCGCAAGTACGCTTCTTAAATTTGAGCTAGTCAGATTACGGGCTTGGTTTGTCCAGGTGCTTGCTAAACGCAAGGTTAGTCCGATAATCTAAGCCAGCAATTGCTCCACCGAGGGCGCACAACTGTATGACACAATCACTATGACACGCTGTGTTAAGAACGCGTATAAGAGACGGAATTTTATTGCCTCCTTGGGGGCCTTCAGAAGGTTCAGCGACATTTATACGAGCAAGCATACATACATAAGGCAGTATTTTATACCGACCACGCTTTGTGTTGGATAATTGTGCGCGTTAGCTGTATAAGCCACGTGGCGACACAAGCTGTTTTCAATACTGTGCAGTCCACTTCGGTGGAACCGTAGTTGCGATTCACGGCTGCTCACCCGCAGGTCGCGGGTTCGATTCCGGCAACGATGGCCGCTTTTCGATGAAGGCTAAATGGTAGAGGCTAGTGTACTGTGCGAGGTCAGTGCACGCTAAAGGACACCCAGATGGTCGAAAATTCCGGAACTCTCCACTATGGCATGTGTTATAATTATATCGAGGTTTTGTGACGTGAAACTTCAGATGTTATTATTATTATTATTATTATTTTCAACTGTGTATCACTATAGTACAAAAAGAATTTCTGTTAAACTTTTCGGGTCGTTCTGGCTTACCTCGCATAGGAGTTTCTCTGAAGAAACACTCTCTTTTGGGTTACGCGAATCTCCGAAAAAAAAAAAAGGCATAAATGTCTTTTAAGAGAGTTCACGTGTCCCTGTAAACAGTCATACAAGTGGCAAGCCAGAAATCCCAGAAGAGAGACAAGTCACTCTTTTTTTTTTTCCACAGAGTGTAGAGATAAGAGCAGATCTCGCACTTTCACATGCTCGGGACACTGATTAAGCGACCGTCCCTGATTCCGGTGTGTAGTTTCGTATTCCTCCTTAATGTACCTAAAAATTATCAGTCTATCTTGGATCAAAACGGGTCTGAGTTCCCTCCACCGTCGTCGACGGTCGCACGGTCACGGTCAGTGTTTCCCCAACATTCATAAGTTAAAAGTTAAAAGCACCATGACATATATGGTGCTCAAAAAATCATTAAAATGAAGATAACGATAACACCACAAATGCGAGGGTGGGTGTTTGAGTGAGGGAGATGCCCGGAGAAAGGGGCTGGCAGCTCAGTAACATCGCGTGCGAAACTTACCCTCCCTCCTTCCCATGTCGATCATTATTTATGACTAATGAACGCCAACAATGTATCTCAACATCACCGAGGGTTAATGCTCTCTTTCGAGTAATCATCGAAATGCATCGTAAACTTACTACTTTTTCGTGAGTGGCACGCATCCACGCTCTGCGAGTGGTACTCAGCCACCAGGCTAGCCGATGCAAGCCCCTCTCTCCCTCTTTTTCTTCCCTCCTCTCTCAAAGAAAGAGCTAAAGAGAGGCGAAGTATGTGGACGGTGATGCGAAGCAACAGAACGAAAAAACCAGACCAATGCGCTTCCCGCCTCTGGGACCGGACCGAGCGTCGTTATGTTAACGCGAGCAGAAATGCCATGGCCTGCCGTCTTGTGGTGGAGAAATGCAAGCGAGTGCCTCGCGTTTTCCTTCTCGCGAAGCTCGCTCGCTGGACGAGATTGCACGGTGCAATGCATGCATAAATTCCACATTTTGTTTTAGGAATGTATGGAAACCTTCCTTTTTTTTCTTTCGCGCAGCTGAGCATAAATCAGTCTGGTTTTTAATTCACCGCCGCATCTTCTTTCGCTGTCTGCCGGTCTTGTTTTACACTGGGGACGTTGAGCAGCGGCACAGGCGGACATGTTTAATGGTGAAAATGCGGCCCTGGGAAAGCGTTTGTGTGGTGTCTGCTGAACTTCCTTTAAATATTGGTTATATAGGCGCTTGAGTGTATGCGTGCGATAATCTGTAAAGCTAGGAGCTCGTTTGAAAGCGAGATTGATTTGGCACGCGGCGAAAACAATGCCAAGTATAGGTAAGTGATTAGATGATCTCAGATGAGTATTGTTGTAGAAGCTCTCCGTTTAGAAATATCGTGCCCATGTTAAGACGATGTGCAGCAAGAAAACACTGAGCTTATTGCAGCTGACACTGAATTATATTATAGATACGTGATGCTATGCATTACTTTACAGATCTTTGAGTAGGCGAAGATGATTGGCCAGACACTGTTTCACTGCCTATTCCTGCTCGATAACTTCCTGACACAGTCGCATGCAGATAAGCATTAAACAATGCTCGGATATCCACTTACTCACTCGCTCATTCACTCACTAACTCACACGTTATCACCATGTGACTTGTTTAGCATGCATGACTTCAGTCCTCCGCATATTTCCATACCTCCTAATTGACCGTACTCATCCAGAGGTAATATATTGATCCCTCTTCCTTTCTCAACAAGTATAGTATCTGATTCGCTCTTTCACCCAGAGAGTCGAAGACAATGCAATAAGCGATCCCCCAGGATATCTGCATGGGTAAGCACACGCATTAGGTATGCCTCCGCTCACGCACCAGCACCCCTTCGCTCACACCAACTTTCTCACGGTGTCTCGCATGCTTGGAAGGATGCCCTTATTGCGCTTCAGTTGTTTACCTTGCCCTCACTACACTTTAGTGCCAGAACACACACACACACACACACACACACACACACACACACACACACACACACACACACACACACACACACACACACACACACACACACACACACACACACACACACACACACACACACACACACAAACACACACACACACACACACACACACACACACACACGCGCGCGCGCGCGCGCACACACACACACGCACACGCACACACACACACGCACACACACATTCATATAGAACAAAGGAATGTAACGGATGGTATAAAAAAAAGTCGCTCGTGCAACAACACTCACTGCTCTCGGCCAAGGGTATCAGACAGGCGGCCACCGCTGCTGCCAAAACGAGCGCCACGGGCAATGCCAGTCTCCGGGGAATCGCCTGCGAAGAAGAGGAAGCATTGTCAGCGAAAGCTTGTCAACCCCTTTCGTAAATGTAACAAAAAGAAATCGTCTATTGCGAACACATTCTCCTCACGCTATGTGCTCTGGAACATTATACAGCGACCCATAAAGCATGCATAGAGAGAAGTAAACGAAATAGTTATTCACGAAAGAGTAAGGAACATACAAATGTAACTATTGGAGCTAGGTGAAGAGGTTGTTATGGAAGGCGAATGTAACGCCTTTAAGAAGGAGAGAGAGAGGAGAGAGACGCGCGATGTCGTCGTGCAAATGACGTTCGCCATTTCACGGGGCAACCTGAGATGGCGACGGGAGGCAGCCGGCGAAACTGCTAGCGGGGCTGCCGTCGCCGCCGCCAAGAAGGCAAATGCGTTCCCACGCGCATCTGGAGGGCGCCGAGCGTATTTCTACATGGCGTCTCTTTGTTCTAGCTTTGTTTAGGTCAAGCAAAAAGAAACAAGTAACGATTGATGCCCAACAGCGTACAACAATTTAGAACGCCCACCCGCTTTCCGTTCGTATCTCTTTCTTTCTCTCTCTCTCGTTGGGCCGTTTGCTCCCTTTAGCACCGAATTTGCCACGGCTGGCCCGAAACAATTTTCGAAGCGTCCCGGCGTAAGTCTTACGCACGCGCGCATGCGGAAAGTCTTATCTTTTTTGAGTGTGTACCTGCGTGCGCGTTTAACAAAAATGCGTACTTTGTCAATTTTGCAGGGTGATGTTTGGCTTGCGCTTCGCCTACCTAAACGAATCAATGGTATAAATGAATCGAAGAAGCAAAAAAGAAAAAGAAAATCAGTATGTAGAGGAGGATTCATTGTGTACTCCGCTTCTTTGCTATGTAAGTTTTTTTTTTTTCCTTTCGGATAGGAATGTACTTACGTCATATACGCAGTTTTTTTTTTTTTTACGTTTATACGTTAATCTATGTTCCCGTGCCAACTGGGAGTGTCGAAATTACTTTGCTTTCCGAAGGGGGGCACTCAGGAATCCTCTCGCATCGGTAAAACAAACTGGTTGTTCTATAGCTTTGGGTAAAAACGTCGTGCCAAATTCATTTTAATTTTTTTTTTGTTAAAGTTCGCAGTTCACCCGTTTCTCGAGCTCAGGCGCTTTATCCAATTTATATTCCGGCTCGAAGACGCGGAAAAGGGGAAGTTGAAATAAAACAGTTTCGAATTACTCCGACAAGCAACGTTTTTTTTTTTGGAAGATTCAAAAAAGTATTAAATTGAAGAATAATCCGAGAAAAGAGAGAAGGTTAGAAAGAACTACCGCGAGGCTTATTTCGAAGATCCGATGGGAAGGAAAGACGGCCCGTTTCGCCACCTATATACGGCATGCATAAACCTGAAAATATATAGCTTGTATTAATCTAACTTCGTCTGTAATTTGCCCCGCGTCGCATGCGATTGTCGACAGTAATCGTGAATAAACGCGAGGAAAATATGCACGCGAATTCGAGAAGCAAACGTAGTGTACGTGGGTGATGAAATAAGAACAAATGGGTGTTTGAAAATTGGAGCACTGTCTCGAACAAACATCTACTTTTTTTGTCAATTGCGAGTTTTTTTTACTGCTCTTGCTCGGAGTGGTTGACTGATTAATTGAGCCCCAAATCTCAACGTAACGCCGGATACCTGTGGCAGGTTTGAGGAGCGATTTCGTCACTGCGGGTTCCGCCGAGAATAGTTGAAATAGCGTTCAGTGCATGCATGGGGAACCGTGCTGCATATAATTAAAAGTGCGTAGTCGTTCTTGTTCGCTTTTGCAGCGGAGCTGCTGTTTTGCTTGCTGGTTACTTGTCTTGCAAATGGTACGCAGCGGGATATTACCCAATAATTAATTTTGACCTCGTAGAATTATTTTAATGGTCGCTGCTTTGGAGCTGTCTTTCTTTCTTTCTTTCTTTCTTTCTTTCTTTCTTTCTTTCTTTCTTTCTTTCTTTCTTTCTTTCTTTCTTTCTTTCTTTCTTTCTTTCTTTCTTTCTTTCTTTCTTTCTTTCTTTCATTCTTTCTTTCTTTATGTGCACACGATAACTGTAAAGCACGTTTTCACAAAGCCGCGTGGCTGCCACATCGCTGTTTTTGTGACACAATTTGTTTTTTTTTTTTTACGGCAACACACGCGGCCAAATTTGAGTTTTTTTTCCCCCCTCTGTAGAATCTAGACTGGACGGAGAGAAAGTTCGACATAGCATAGCGAGTTCGTTTTGCCTCTTCTCAATCTTCACGTGTAAAAAAAAACGCAAATTATTTATGATGAAGACGCCATAGCGAGTGCTTACCCTATTCACAGCTCTCGTGTCACTGGTTTTCAGCACAAGCACGTGACAAAACGAAGATTTCGCCAACAACTTTAAACCAACGTAGTCTTACCAATTTCGCGTTGACGAGTGCTATTTCTCTTTCCTTTTTTTTTCGTATAAACCTGTTTATCTCCTCAAAACGTGGTACTTTCGATTCTATTTAGCCGATCCTCTAAGTTTTCCGTGTAATTTCTCACACAAAATTCTCAGACCATCCACACGGACACACAAAACGTTGCCACAGCCCATCGGCACACACATTTCTATAGAAGCGCGAACCAAAGTGAAATGGGCAAAGTTTACACTGTAAAAAAGAAGAAAAAAAGGAGCAAGAATGAAGACCTCGCGCTTAGCTCTCGTGCCTGAAAAGAGAAACCGCACGGCTATTTGCAAAGAGACAGCAGTAGGACTAGAAATTATGCGAGCGTAACGACTGGAAAAGTGTTAATGAGGCGTACGAAGTGCTAGAGAAATCACCTCGTTTGCTGATGTGCCCGCAGAAAGCGGGGGCGAATGCGCCGCTTGGTCGTTGCGGTGAAATAACGCTTTGAGAGGCTTTTGGCAGAAGCGTTGAAATGGGTCGTGTGCTGCGTTGTATACAGCATTGTTCACCCGCTGTGAATTTTCACGTGACATTGTATATTTTGCATGTCGGTCTTTGAGATAACTGAACCGCAATGAAAAGCAAAGGAAATAAAGGAACCGCATGAGAACGCATGAGCCGGTACGTGTTTACGCTCGTTGGTGACGTGAAACGTGTGCAAGATTGTAACGTGAATTTGTAATAACAACGATCCCGCTGTATCTGTCTAATTATAGCGACAATGCGTCTGCTTTCGCAGACGGTGACGATTGCGCAAAAGATAATGTAAACGAGAAAATTTGTGTAGTGGTATTTGGAAAGAACAATCTTTAAAACACGTTGCTCGCTTCAGTCACTGAACTTCTAAACCAAACACTGAAGCATTCGAGGAGTGACAGAGCAGGAGATGTGCTATATCTGCACACAGCATCCTCTGTCACACTTAGACAATTTAATGAAGAGCGATTGAAGAAACAACTCGCAGAAAATGGGAATCAAACACAAGACCGCCGTAGTGACTGCAACAGCAGTCATAAAGTCATGCTGTGACTGCAGCAGTGCTCGAATACGTTTGACCGCAGTAGCAGTCATACATACAATGCGTAATGTTAACCGTTGTAAACAATGAAGGACCCATAGAAGCTGTTTAGAACGACACTTTTCGCTCGTATATTCGGCCACTGTGGAGTGGAATCGTAGCGACCTATAGAGTCAGCTGTATAGGCACCCAGGGTGCGCTGACTCTCCATCCACTGATGCCATAGGTACAGGCCTGAGAATGATGGAATTCCGTTCACGTAACCTCCATGCGCACACGCATCAGTGTCGCGTGGCTGCGCATGCGCACTCTGAGACACGTGACACGGGCCTCCGAGCAGAAAGAAGTGGCGCACACTCTGTACTCCGAATAGGAAGAGCGAGGCCTTCCTTTCGGGTGCGCGCACTCGATCATCCACAGCCGTTCTCACCGTATCTACTGGCACCATCTCACCAAGGACGACACGGTCGCCTGGCTCCGGGCATCTTTTCTCCGCTCTCATCTTCGCCTTCTCTGCACACTCGGGACACTTTCTTTTCTCTACAACGTCTCATTCGTTCTCCCTCTTGCATCGTCATCCGTACGGCGTGATAGCGAGGGGTAGAGTGGAGGGATAGGAGGTTGAGACGCGAGACGACAATAGGGCCCTTCGCGTTGTCACACATACTGAATGACCGTCTGAACCGCCGACGCACGGCTCTACCGGATTGCCCATCGCCGGGCCACTTTGCGGAACCGTGCCCAGAGAAAAGAGGTGGGGGCGCGTGGACAACGGTATGTGCGGAGACAATCGGAAGAACGCGACGGTAAGAGAGAGAGAGAAGGAGACATATAGACAGGAGGAGAGGCTCATTGGAGCCTCGCGAAATTCGATACTGATCATCCTGCCCGTCTTTGTGCCTGCAGCGTTTGCGTGTGTGTTTCCGATGAGGACCACAGTGTGTGTGTGTGTGTGTGTGTGTGTGTGTGTGTGTGTGTGTGTGTGTTTGTGTGTGTGTGTGCGTGTGTGTGTGTGTGTATACGTTCGTATACCATATGTGCCATTGTGGCCTTGCTCGGGGAGACGTCGTCCCCGCAATGGATGATGGTGACGAGGAACCGGAAGAAAGAGAGGAAACGAAAGCAGCTTCCTGTTCGCTTGACCGTTAGCTGTCTGTGGTCCACGAATGGTATTCTATAGTGTGGTCACGTGCCCTATCCATCCTTGAGTGTGCGCACTTCAGATCACTGGCTCTATAGTTTGCGGCTGGGTGTGATAATGGCAATGCAAACAAGGAAGAGTTTCCGCGCTTGCCCCACGGAGGAGTCTGTTGTTCTCGATAGCATATAATAAAGCTGCCGCAAACTTGGGGCCACCGTATTCTCGACGAATCGCTTTCTGGAGATAGTCGCACTTTCGGTGCGCCTTGATAGGCTAGGACATCAAAAGGACTTCCACGGCTCCATGTGAAGCGACGCGCCCCTTGACCATCACGTCGGACAAGAATCGAACCGTTGTCGGAGGTGATCGATGCGAAACGATCGAGGCTGTGGTCTCGAACGTGGGAA